CCAGTGTAGTAGCCACGGTCGTCCGCAGGCCACGAAGTGAAGTGTCCGAACGTCATAGGGCGGGAAGCTGGGTGTGGGTGGTGGCGAAGAGTCGTGTGGATATTTGGTAGAGCTTGCACTGCCCCCCCACAAAGTGGGGGTATTGGCTGGCGTCGCATGAAAACCCTGGCACTGGTGAGAACACTGAGCGTTCGGGTAAAGTGATTGTTGTTGTTGTTGTGGTTGTTTTTGTTGTTGTTGTTGTTGCTGTTGTTGTTGTTGAATTCTCATTTCTGAAGAATGATTATTGTTGATCCCCCCACCGGTGCAGACTCTTTCTCTCAAACAAAGTGTGCCCCTCGACGCTCGCAGCATGTTTTTGACAGGGAAAGTCTTCCTGCTCAAACTGGCTCCCTGGCCCCCGGGTTACAACAACAACGGCTCCCGCTTGAGACTTCCGCACAATTTAGCCAGGACCCCCGGTCCCGCCCGAGACCCCCTCGCATTTTACTCAGGAGCCGCGCTCTCGCTTGGGACTTCCTTACAATGTATTCAGGAATCGCTTTCCCGGCGCTCTGGAGTCGTGCTCTCGCTGGAGACTTGCTGATGAATGGCCTTGCGTTGGAATTTCTTGCAATTTGCCCAAGCGCCGCGCTCCCGACACCCAGGCACCCAGGAGTCGCGCTCGTTGTGGCCCCATGTGCATGCCCTTCGTGGCCCCGCTGTCGCCATTTGTGTCCCCCTCACTGTCCTACGTGGCCCAGTTGCTACCCTCAGTGGCCCCATAGTTGCCTTCTGTGGCCCCGCATTATCTGCACTTCGTGGCCCCCGCTCGTTCGCGCTCTTCGTGGCCCCATACGCATTCCCTTCGTGTCCCCGCTGTCGCCCTTCGTGGCCTACTTCGTGCCATTCGTGGCCCTGCTGTCGTTCTCTCTCGCTCTCGCTTTCGCTCGTCGTCGCCTCCTCGTCGTCGTCGCCGTTGTCTTGGACGTCGTCGTCGTCGTCGTCGTCGTCGTCGTCGTCGTCGTCGTCGTGGTCGGTCACCTGTCCGTCCCTCTTGGGGTCGGGTCGACGGTCCGCGGCCGCCCCGCCGGTCAGCGCTGCCGCTGGCCAGGCCGACGGTCCGCGGCCGCCCCGCCGCTTGCCGTGGCCCGGCCTGCAGGGAAGAAAGGTATACCCCCCAAAAGGGAATCGATCGAAGACGAAGAGGGCGGGTATCAAGGGTTTGGGAAATACGCGTTATTGGACACTTGAGCATATAAGGGCGAACACTTTTAAAATGATTGTTGTTGTTGTCGTTGTTGTTGTTGTTGTTGTTGGGCCGCTTTTGGCGCCCCCCAAAACCGCTCGAGCCTGAGCCTCTTTTTCAATGAAAATGTAGCCAGCGCCGAGGCGAGAGCGCCATGGCGCCTGGGGGGTCCAACAATAATATTTTTGAGTAATTAACATTCAGCAGCATCAACGACAACAACAACAACGCAACAACAAGCATAATTCTCAGTACGAATTCCTTATTCAGCCACGCACCCAGGGACAATGAATGACCGTTCGGCCCCCCACTCTGACAATGTAACTTGCAAGGGATGATTGCGTCGGGAGCGCGAATATCATGTATTTTACGTGCCCCACGGCCCCGCAGGAACTCAGAGAAGCCGACTCGGGGGTGGTAACCGGGCCCTTTTCGGCTCCCCCTCCTCGCGCGGACTTCAACAATTTACAATAGGAAGCAGAAAGCAGGACTGCAGCATTGGAAACTGGCATTTGGAACTGGCGCAGGGAGCAGCAAACCTAAGCCTCGCAGCCTGATGGCCCCACAACGGGGGCGGGCGGATTTGTTCGTTTTGTCTCTCTCTCTCTCTGTCTCTCCTCCCCTCTGCCTCCCGCTGCAGCTTTTCCACCTTGATAGCTTGCTTGATTCCGCGTGGTTGGGCATGGCCAGTTTTCATTTCATGGCATGCTGGTCTTTTGGATGGGTCGTTTGAGCCATCGAGTTTGAACACAACATTTGCCCGATTTGGCAGATATGTTTAAAGTGGGATGCGTATCGGTAAGCTCGTGCTGGCCGACGCTTGCGACAGACAGCAGGCCAATTTTGGGCGTACCAGTCTGTCCTCGATTTGAGGCTGGTCCCTAATGTAGCTCACTCCCCGTCGTCGTCGTCGTCGTCGTCGTCGTCGTCGTCGTCGTCCTTCTCCTCCTCATTCTTCTCTTCATCCCCCTCCTCTCCCCATCCTCATGCGATTTTTTTCCGGCAAGTAGCGCACGCGCCTCCGAGGTCGTGAGCCTTGTTTTACCTTTATGATTCTCTATGTGGTGACCGCTTGAACTTCCCGCCCCCACCAGTCCGCCTGTCTCACCCTACTCCTGATGCGTTCGCTCGTGGAGTCTGCTGTCGCTGGGGTGTCCGGTCTCTTTTACCTGAAGGTGGAAATCTAAAATCTTTGCGCAGCTAGCCTTAAGTCGGGCATGTCTCTCTGCAGGAGGAATGTTTAAACATTGTTTCAAACACAGTCGGGGGACGATTTGTTTTGACTATTTTTGAGCATGTTTGGACTATTTTTGATTTTCTTCCAAAGCCCCCCTGTAGTAGGACATGCCCGACCTAAAGCTAGCTTCTCCCTCCTGTTTCATATATCTTCGGCGGAGCGCTTCGAGAGGCAGCCTCCTGTGCCTCGGGTTTGAGCTTTGCGTTCTGTTTGAGAGGTCAGCAAGTGGAGCAGCCTGGGAGGTCTGAAGTACTGTCTGTATCCCCCTCTCATTCCTTGCTTGTTTCTCCATCATTCCAAAGAGGGTCCGCGTGGCGCAGCCAGCGGCAAGTACCCAGGGATCTTGGACGCCTTCAAAAGCCTCCGTGCAGCCTCGAGAATCTCTTGAGCAAATCGAGAAACCTCCTCCTCATCCTCCTTGCTCACTTCTCCTTTCTCCCAGGGGGAGCCCACGTTTTGCAGCTGATGGAACATGGGGCGCGCACACTTACAAGAACCTTCTTCGACTCGCTGGGTCAGTTTCCAAAGCACGTCGAACATCCCCCCTCTTCTTCCCTGTTTGCTTGCCACCGCCCCTCCCTGGAAGAAGGGATACCTTGAGCAAGGTGGAGGGGACAGGGGGGCAGACTAGCTAGTTGCGCTCGCGCCATATATGCCATCCTGCCCCTGCCACCTATCCCTTCCCATTGCGCTTTTTGTTTCTCTATCCGCCGACGGGTGTCATAGCGGACCTGGAACCCCGAAAAGGTCACCATCGTGTTATGGGCAATCCGATTAAAACAGGGGAACTGAATACATTGGGGGAGGAGGAGGGGGAATGACGAGGAAGAGGATGAGGAGGAGGCGGATGAGGAGGAGGAGGAAGATGAGCAGGACGACGAGGAGGAGGAGCAGGAGGAGGAGGAGGAGGAGGAGGAGGAGGAGGAGAAGGAGGAGGGTGAGGAGGAGGAGGAGGAGCAGGAGGAGGAGGAGGAGGGAGGATCATCAGGAGAGGAGGAGGAGGAGGAGAGGAGGAAGGAGGGAGGAGGGGAGGAGGAGGAGAGGAAGGAGGAGGAGGAGGAGAGGAGGAGGAGGAGGAGGAGGAGGAGGAGGAGCAGGAGTAGGAGGAAGCAAGAGGACGAGGATGAGCATGGATGATGATGATGATGATGATGATGATGATGATGATGATGATGATGATGATGATGATGATGATGATGATGATGATGATGATGATGATGATGATGAGGAGGAGGAGGAGGGAGGAGGAGGAGGAGGAGGAGGAGGAGGAGGAGGAGTAGGAGGAAGCAAGAGGACGAGGATGAGCAGGATGATGAGGAGGAGGAGGAGTAGGAGGAGGAGAATGAGGAGGAGTAGGCGGAGGAGGAGGAGGGTGATGAGGAAGAAGAGGAGGATGCTGAGGAGGAGGACCAGGGCAAACACAATATGCATCTTCGATGTCGCAACAAAGCCATCACTCCACATTCGCTCTTCATAGGTCCCTACAAGTAATTGTTTTCACTGTCTGGAAGTGCCCCGTTGGAAGACAACCGTTTGAAAATCTTCAATCGTACCAAACCACCATCTGGGGGACTTCAACGCCGCGAATTACACTTACTGTTGCGCCTTGGCGATCCCGAGTCGCCCAAGAGCACAATTCCTGGGACTTCAGCGCCGCGAATCAGCGTAACTGTTACGTCCTGGCGATCCCGAATCATGCTAGACCGCCATTCTTGGGACGGCAGCCATGAGAAGCCTTAAAACTCTTGCAAACTTTGATGCCGAATGCGAGTGGCGCTAATGCGAGAGCCTCATGTTGAAACGGGGCCGCCCTCCATGTGTGAAGCACTTGCACACTTCTAGCAGGAACGTGCGCGGCGCTGAGACAAGAGCCCCATTTTGAAGAAAAGACCCGACCTCCAGCTTTGAAACTCTTGTATTATTTCGACGAACAGGCACGGCGCTGGCGCGATACCCACATTTTGAAAGCCACCTGCCCTCCATCCTGGAAGCTCTGGAGAACCTTCAAGACGAATGTGCACGACGCTAAGGCAAGCCACATTTTGAATTTTGCCTGCCCTCCATCCGTGAAATTGTTGAAATTCTTAGCTTCAGGATCATCATTGGCTGGGGAATCTCAGGCGACATGCCTAGCCCGCCCAACTAACACTTCTCGGGGCCAGGGAGAAGTTCTGTACACGGACAGAAGGGATACGCAGAAGGAGGAGGAGGCGGAGGAGGAAGACTAGAAATAATGAGGGGGAGGAGGGGAAGGAGGAGGAGGGGAAGGAGGAGGAGGAGGACCAGGAGCAAGAGGGAGAGCAGGAGGAGGAGAACAAGGAGGAGGAGGTGGAGGAGGAGGATGATGAGGAGGAAGAGTTAGGAGAATGGAGGAGGAGGACCAGGAGGAAGAGGGAACAAAGGAGGAGGAGGCGGAGGAGGATGACTAGGAAGAATGAGGGGGAGGAGGGGAAAGAGGAGGATGAGGAGGAGGAGGAGGTGGAGGAGAGTAACGGGAAGAGGAAGGCAGAGCAAGAGGAGGATGAGGAGAAGGGTATGGGAAGCGGTGCTCCACCCCAGGATGGCACCACCACCGTCAAGCAGATCGAGAACAACAAGATCGAGGTGCTCGACCACCGCAACGACGTGTTACCGCTCCGACTTGAGCGGAAGCCGGCCCGATACCAGAGGGTCACGGGTGTCGGACATCGAATCAAAGACTGTTGCCAGCGTGGACCGTAAACAGCAATGTATTGCTATGTGGAAGGGAGGGCTATGTGATGCAAGGCGCGTGGTGAAAGCTGCGGTTCGGAACCTTGGCTTAGCGTAGCGCGCGGCCGGTTCTGGACTTCACGCTTTCGCGCGACAAAACCAAGTCCCATGAAGTCCCAGCCCCCAGGCGACACCGTCCCAAGGTCTTCCATGCCCTGCGCCCCGCGGAGCGGAGCGACACGCCACCCGCTCGCAGGGCATAGCGTCTCACGGGGGCGGCCGCCGCGACACGCTATGCAGACCGCCTTCGCCGTATGCGATGTAATCTGCGTGGTGCGGGCTATGTGGTGTAAGCTATGTGGTGCAACCTATGTGGTGCAAGCTATGTGGTCAAAGTTATGTGGTGCAACCTGGACGGTGCACTATTCCTGGTGCAAGCTATGATGTGTAATCTATGTGGTACCATCTATGTGGTGCAAGCTATGTGTTGGAAGCTAGGTTGTAAAGTATACGTCGTGTAAGATATGTGGTGTAAGCTGCGAGGTGCAATGTGTGTGTGCTCTCATCTACGCGTGCAAGCTATGCGGTATGTGGTGCGTGAGATATGGGGCAACTGATGTGGTGAAAGCTGTGTGGTGCAATATACGTGGTGCAATCCACGTGGTGCATTTTCTGAAGGGGTGCAAGCTATGTGGTGCACGCTATGTGGTGTAAACTACGTGGCTCAACCTGTGTGCAGTATACATGCCGTACACTGTGTGGTGTAAGCCATGGGGCACGCTACGTGGTGCAGGTTAGGTGAGGCAGTCTGTATGGTGCAGCCTGCGCGGTGCAATCTGCGCGGGCGCACGGGGCGCCCACGAGGCGGCCATATGCAGCACCTCGGTATACCCCCAGCGCGGGGCGCCCTCGGGCGGGCACTGGGCGAAGCCTCGGCATGCCCCCCCCCCCCCAGCGCGGGGCGCCCACGAGGCGCCCACGAGGCGGCCACGGGCGGGCGCCCACGAGTCGCACACGGGCGGGCACCAGGCGAGACCTTGGGATACCCCCCCTCCCCCACGCGCGGGGTAGCAGCGAGGCGCCCACGGCGCGGGCGGGCACCAGGCGAAGCCTCGGGAGGTCCCCCCAGCGCGGGATGCCAACGAGTCGCCCACAGCACGGGGCGGGCACCATGCGAAGCCTGGGCCTCCCCCCGCCCCCTGACGAGGCGCCCACGGGCGGGCATCAGGCGAAACCTTGACATACCCGTCCGATCCCACAAGGAAGACACGCGCTAACCCTTGAGTGCAGTCTGCTTAGGCGTCTCTCTTTAGAAGGGCCACCTCAATTTGAGTCGCGCCCGGCTGGTGGATATCGACGACGTGCAGCCTCATGCAGGCTTTCCGGTCCGTTCGCGCTAAATTCGTCCAGGAGGTGGAGTGGGAGGAGGTTGAGGTGGAGGAGGAGGAAGAGGAGGAGGAGGAGGAGGAGGAGGAAGAGGACCAGTACATATAGATCCAGGATGCATCAGCGATGCTGTGAGACACCCTCCCGCCCACACGGCCCTGCCTCCTTTGTCCCTGCAGGTATTCTCTCTTCCACTGCGGGCTTCGCCCCCCCCCCCCCCCCCCCCCCCCCCCCCCCCCCCCCCTGGGGTGGCGAGCGCCCCGTGGGCATGCCACTCGATCCACCCTCCATCCTTCTCCTCCACCCTCCTCCTCCTCCTCCTCCTCCTCCTCCTCCTCCTCCTCCTCCTCCTCCTCCATCCTTCCCCGCTGCATCTGGGTGCCGACAAGCCCCCCCAAGCAGATCGCCACGGAGGTCATTGGCAAGAAGGTGAAGCATGAGCTGACGCAGAAATGCGGCGACACCTGGTTCTTAAATCGTGAACGTGGGGTGGTCTCACACAAATGGGCTGACGCGGTGCAGGTGGTCCCGCAGCCGCAGCGGGCACCTGCGCAACTCCTCTTCAACAAGAACTTCTTCGATGGCTCGGCGTTCTCCCAGCGTGAAATGTTTGTCCTTCTCAGGCCCCTGGTGTCTGGTGGCAAGGTGGAGACCGACAGGTGTTTGCTTTAGACCTCTAGGTATGTTCTTTGGCTCGGTGGCAGTTGTGATCGTCTTGCCAACTTATCATCCTTTGTGACGTGGAACTCCAGAGCTCTGCTGCAAAACAGAGGTGCAAAGGCCAACACCAACGCAGTATACCTTCGCTCTCTCCGCCCAGCACAATCGGTCATGACATTGCAAGGAGTTCAGGCAGCCATACCGAATTAGGCAGATTTGTGCGATCGATGTCTCTTGATGTTGTGGTGCAGTCTTCTTTTGTACATGGCAGTGTTGGCTCGCGGCGCGGTAGTGTTGCGACTATCTTCCCTCCGTGTGTGAGCTGGTCTCAGGTGTCTCAGCGTGACCCGCTCATTCCTGACCGTGTTCGTCGCGTTCGTGTGCAGTTCGAACGTGCCGCCCTCATACATCACAACGTACATAATCATGGATTGAATGCGGTTCAGACCAGGCTTGTCGCTCGAGAGCTTGATCAAGATCGCCGTGCCGTTGCCCAGAATCCTCACAAACTCTTCCTTATGGTGGTCGATGATTTCAACTTTGCCCCTGTGGATTTCGGCACTCACTACACTGCGGCGACGGACACCATCTTTTTGATTGACAGGTGTTTCGTGGCACCACCTGGGTAGATGCTTTGCCAGCTCCATGTGCAGGCGGCTGTGCATCTGCCTCCTGAGAAGGTCTATGCCCGCAAGATGAGCGATCACTCCGCTGTGACCTTCTTCATCACGCCCAGAGCTGAGCGCAATCCTCAGCGGCTACCGATTCCCACCCATGATCTGGCCTCTCAGACTTTCAAGCAGATTGTGTCCGCGCACGAGCCGCTTTGGATCTCTCTATGCACTTGCCTCCGGTTGCTCTTGAAGAAGATATGTTGTTCCGATGTTCTCTGGCCGTATGCGCCAAGCGACGCTGCTGCAATTTGCGCGCTCGATCGCCCGCGTGGTCTGGCGCAATGATGTTGCTCTTGCTGAACGCCTCTTGCACAGCTACCCGGTGGCCAGTGACTTTCCTCGTATTGATCAGCAGTCGGTTTCCCTATCCTCTGCAGGTGAGCCCCTGGCGTGGTCGAATGAGGTGCAATGGGCGGCAGCTGAGAGGCACCAACGTGATATTCAGACCAGTCTTGATGACCAGTGGCTCTTCCAGCGTCGCGCACAACTTCGGGGTCAAATGAAAGCAGGCTTGCGCAATATGACGATCTGGTCTCCGAAAGGCAAGACTCTCAATCTTCGCAGCTTTGTTCTTGATTGCGACGCAGTTGTATCCTGTGCGCGCGCTCCATGCACTGAGCGAAGATTCAGTATTGGGCTCCAGTGTTCACGGCGAAGCCCGCGCGTTTTATGGCTTGTGCGTCCTGCGGCTCCTGGCGTGGATGAGCTCCACTATGCGGCGTGGCAGGCTCATGCACGGGGTGTGCAGATTCTTTGGTCTGATGGCAGCTTGATGGTTTCCATTGCTGGCAAGCTCAACGGGTGCGTTGCAGGCGTTCGTGCCGAAGGGGTCCATTTCGTCCGGTTTGAATCCTGAGGGGTCCATGTCGTCCGATCCGAATCCTGAGGGCCGTCTGCGCAAGGCGTCGAACCAGCGCGCGCTGGGCCCCCGCAGCGCAGATGGGAAGATCATGGCGCCAGTAATCAATTTCTCTCTCAAGAAGACCGCTTCCAGAGCGGTTCAGTGGACCCGGCGAGGTTTTGTGGCGAAGCGCTCTTTCGCGACAAACATCCTCGAGCTTGATGTGGCTGCTCGTACTTATTGCTCATTGGAGATGGCAGCGGAGTGGCAGCCTGTGCTTTTCTTTCTTGATGTGGTGCAGGCGTTCCCGTCGTTGGCTCAGGGCTTCATGTTTGACGTGCTCCGCTGACTTCAGCTTCCCGATTCCCTCATTGCCTTTCTTGGGGTGTACTACCTGCCCGTGCCCGGCTGCGTGATGATGCATGGCCAGTTGGAGCCTGGTTTTGTCGTGTCCTCAGGCATCGCGCAGGAATGCCCGACGTCGGGGTCCCTCCTTGCTGTTGCGACGACCCCATTTGTGCGAGATTTGCTCAGTTCTGTTGATTCTGAGCATCGTGGCGTGGTGCGGTGGTGCGCTGATGACTTCGGAGATGCATTGACAGCTACCATGTTTCTCAAGGTTGTCTCGACAGTACTGAATATTGCCGAACGCGTGGCGACGCCGTGTCTCAAACCTGCGGGATGTATCGTGGCGCCTCTCCCGGACGAGTTCTCAGCTGAATTGAATGCTGCAGCCCAACAGCGCCTCGCTGCTGAAGCTCCCGCGTGGCAGGATTCTCAAGTGGTGGAGGATTTGAGGCACCTTGGACTGTGGCTTGGGCCCGCAGCCGATGATCATCTACAGTTTCGCGAGCCCGCCCAGAAGGTCATTTCTCGTGGGTTAGCCCTGGGTCGTGGCGCGGCCCCTGCATCTTCCCTAGCGTGCCACTACTCCTCTCGGTGCACTCCTTGTCTCTCCTATGTGGCTCAGCTGTTTCCGCTGCCGGCTGATCTTCGCCGCCGTGATCATGGGCTTTTGGCTTCCGCACTACGTCTTCCCCTCGGAGCACTCCGTCCGGCGCAGTTCCTGAGTCTCCGCGAGTGGGGTGGGCCTCGCACTGCGACGTGGCAATCTGCGGCGTCGGCAGCCCTCATCCGTGTTTCTTGGGTTACCTTGAGAGAGTATGTTGGGTCGCTTTATGCCAAGTCCGTGTCTGATGTAACCGAGCATCTTATTTCGATCTCTATCGTCAGATTGTCGAGTGACGGCCGTGTGTTGGAGCTGCCTCTCGATTTTGGAAGATGCTTAGCTTTGCGGAACGATCGCGTGCTGGTCGCGCCTGTATGCCATGTTCTGGATTGATGAAGCCGTCTCTCCTACTTGCTGGGAGGAAAGCTATCGGGCAAATCTTGGTGGATGCAGAGTTTTCCCAAACGCGTGAGATTCCTGAGGATACTGGCAAGTTCAAGTGGCAAATGGTGATCAATACTGAGCTTGTGAGCATGGTGTCTTGTCCCTCCGCGATACCTTTGTGGGTGGCTCGCCAACTTCGCAAGCGGTGCCCTCAATATGAAGTGCTGATTCTGAACATTGACTGGGATGAGCTCAAAGTGCGCCTGGCTCGGTTACCTGCCTCGTGGTACTGGCCCATGCTGAGGATCTGGGGCAATGCCTGGATTACGTCGTGGCGGATTCTTGGTGGTAGAGGCAAACGCAAGTGTAGTTCCATATGTATGCACGAGAAAGATCGTTTGAACCACTATTTCGCTTGTCCTGTACTCTGCCGTGCTCTTCGGCGTGCCTCTCATATTCCATTGGCAGACTTTCCTGCCCATCGGCTTGACGGACTGGGGCCGCGCCCTCCAGATCACGATCGGGTCTTCGAATTCCTAGTTATCCTGTGCACGATGTACCACGCCGTCAGGCACCCCGACGTCGCCTGCATTGGCTTCGACGAGCTCGTTGAGCACATCAAGGCTTCTGAGAGAACCCTGCGGCTCCCTCGCCGCGGGCACGCGGCTGCCGCCAACGCCGCCACCGCAGCCTATGCGAACAGCTCCGACCTGCTGCGCCAGGGCACGGCGCGTTCTTCTTTCCTCCTCCTCCTCCTCCTCCTCCTCCTCCTCCTCCTCCTCCTCCTCCTCCTCCTCCTCCTCCTCCTCCTCCTCCTCCTCCTCCTCTCCTCCTCCTCCCCCCCCCGTAGCCAGCGGTAGCCCCATTTCGCCCACCATCCTCGTAAATGTTGCACAATTTGTGGACCTTCCAGGCGAGAGCCACTGCGACAAGGAGCTGCCCTCTCTCCCTGTGCCGCCTTCCTTCCCTGTAGTTCTTGCACACTTCGGAACTGTGGGTCGTAGACATTGAGGATGTCGCAGGCGGGATCAGCATGACGAAAACGTGCCCGCCTTCATCCTTGTAACTGTTGGAAGTTTTGAAACACGAATGTGCTTTGAAAACCACTGGCCCTCCATTCTTGTAATTGGTGGATGCTTTTGCAACGAATGTGCGCGGTGCTGAGGTTAGAACCGCAGTTGAAAGACGATCAGCCCTCTACCCTTGTCAAAGCTGCGAAGCTGCGCGGCGCGGCGCTCCATTCTTGTAGCCATCGGGGTGCTTGATTTTCACATAATACTAGCTGCCAAGAAGTCTGAAACGAAGCTCCTGGCCCGGCCCACGGACACGTCTGGTCAGAAGAGAGCGGTATGGATCCAGGCAGAGGTGGGGGGAGTGAAGGAGATGGGGGAGTAAGCGAGAGCGGAGGCCAGCAAAGGGAAAGGGTGAAATAATAACGGGGGTGATCTGCAGTCACGACACTGGAAAAACATGCACTTTGGGCTCCGGAAGGGTTCCGCTTGTCGGGCCGTTTCTTAGGTGTAGGTCGGTGGGCCTATTCGTGACAGGGCCCACCGTGGCCAGGACCATCCCGTTCCTGACTTGGCGGCCCTCATGGTAGCACGAACGACTGCATGGAATTCGCGGAGAATTAAAATCACGCGGGTGAGGATGATGAGATTCGGCGGAGGCGGAATATGGTGATGAGGATGATGATGATGATGACGATGGCGATGATGCTGATTATCATGATGATGATGATGATGATGATGATGATGATGATGATGATGATGACGCTGCTGATGCTGATTGTGATGATGGTGATGATGCTGCTGCTGCTGATGATAATTGTAATATTAATGATGATGCGGACGATGGTGATGATGTTGCCGCTGCTGATGCCGATGTTCATTATGCTGATGATGCTTACGGTTGTGATGCTGATGGTGACGATGATGATGATGATGATGATGATGATGATGATGATGATGATGATGATGATGATGATGATGTTGATCATGTTTGTGATGGTTATGATGATGATGCTGATGCTGATGATGATTGTCATGCTGTCTCTGATGCTGATGCTGATGCTGATGATGCTGAGAATGATGATGATGATGATGATGATGATGATGATGATGGTGGTGGTGGTGACGATGATGATGATGATGATGATGATGATGATGATGATGATGATGATGATGATGATGATGATGATGATGATGATGATTGATGATGATGATGATGATGATGATGATGATGATGATGATGATGAGGAGGAGGAGGAGGAGGAGGAGGAGGAGGAGGAGGATCGGCAGGATCGGCATGATCGCGAGGAGGAGGATGAGGAGGAGGAGGAGGAGGAGGAGGAGGAGGAGGAGGAGGAGGAGGAGGAGGAGGAGGAGGAGGAGGAGGGGGAGAGAGGGTGGTGCGAGGTTAAGGAGATTGAGGGGACGGAGTGAGGACGA